AGAGCACGTAAGCGCAAAGTGTTTGAGCATGTACTCCGGTCTGGGTGAAGCAGGGGGGGCGTCAGTGTTTGCTTAATCCCAGAGAGGGGCTTTGCAGAGTTGTGGTCTAAGACTTGTTTTTTCCAGTGGCCGAGGATTGCGTTAGTCGGGAGGTTTAAGAGCCCAGCGAAAGCCCTGGATCGTCTCTGTGGGAGGATAAGCAGTTTTGCCTGAGGATTTCTGCTCAGAACAGATGCTGAATTGGGATTTATTTATTTATTTATTTATTTATTTTAAAGCCAAAGTCTTGATTTCATTTCAGTTAAGGACCTTGAATTCAAGATTTTGTGGTGAAAGCAGAGCAAGCCCGCATAGGACGTGGCACCGGTTACCACCCTCACAGCCAAAGGGATCCTGCAGATGAAGCTTTCCGCTGTGCGGTTTATTTATTGAGTAATTTGATTTCACTGGTGATCCCGGGGGATCCCCCGAAGGTGGAGGGACTGGCCCTGCCGGCGTGTCCCCCTGCAACTGCCTGCCGAGCCCCGGGGATCCCTGCGCTGGGACGGCAGCTACAGCATGGCATTTTCGGGTGATTTTCTCGGTGCTTTTGCACTGCTGCCGGAGCTCTGACCCTGTAAAACTGGAGCAAGAGGAAAATGGTATAAAAAGGTCCTTTTTAAACCCAAACAGGTGATCCCAGACGTGTTCCCCTCTGCCTGGGAGACGTGCCCCCTTTTCCTAGCTGCACAGAGCCCCGTGCATCCTTTAAGGTCGCGCGGATCCGACCCTCTTCGGACGGTTGAATCATTTCCTGTTTTCTTCAGTTTTTGAAGAACTCCAAGGCAAGCTGGAAATGTTTGCAGATAGGGTGAACTGACTGCTCCGGGGCCATGGGAAAAATACAGGCGTGCTAAATCTGCGGAGGGAGAGGGTGCGAGTGCAGGGTCGTGGCAGGCAGAGGGGCTGGTCCTGCCTTTTGCTGATCAGGTAGCTGAAGCGCTTTGGGAGCCCTGCCCTGTTTTGGCAGGAGCTGGGTTTTATCGATCGGTGGATGTTGCACTGATGGTTTTTCCCTTTTAAGAACCGATCTGTGCATTGAGGTGTCGATGCCAAGAGCACCTCCCCGGTCAGGTGCCTGTGGGTCTCTTCTCCTCCAAAACTTGTGCTGGTAGCAGCCACGTGCCCCGCAAGCTCGGCTGCAGCGTGTGCGCGTGAGCAGTCGGTACGGCTTTTCTTGCGGCTCCCTCCGTGCTTTTTGTATAAAAAACTGCATTGCCCAGTTAATCTCTGTAAATGTTGAGGTACAGTTTGCAGCTGGTCCAAGCGTGCCCCGATGCCCGCGACGGGCGCTGCCAACGGCGGCCCTCGTTTGCAAGCGCTTTTTGAGGAGTTTGGTGCTCTGGGCCCGAGGAGTCGGGGTGGCCGAGGTGTCCCTCCTGTGCCAGAGCGGCGGCATCGCGGGCAGCTCTGACCTGGTGTCCAGCGAGGGCTGGTCATCTTCCATCCCTGTTCCTTCCCAGACGCTGGGATTGAGCTGGTCAAGCTGGTCCTGAGTCCCAATCCACCTCTGTCACCCCCGGGCATTGCAGCCATGGCCAAAATTCACCCTGCTTTTTGCCCCAGGACTCTGGGACTGATCTCATTGCTCACTGTGGGAGAGCACGGTCGGCACGCACCCATGCAAGCGGGAGCAGATGGGTGCAAGCGGGAGCAGATGGGTGCAAGCGGGAGCAGCTCCAGCTCTTGCTTTGGCCAGGGGTTGCCGAGTGCTGGTGCTTGGCCCTGAGGAAGGCTTTGCTCTCGCCTCCCTGCTTTGGGGTTCGGCAGGGCTGGGGGCCCACGGGGGGTTCAGGCCGTCACCCCCCCAGGGGCTGTGTTTGGAAGAGCTCAGTGTGAGGAAGAAAGTCACAGAGGGAATGGAGGAGGCAGTTTGGTGTGGTCAGCCGCCCTAGAATCATAGAATCATTAAGGTTGGAAGAGACCTCTAAGATCATCGAGTCCAACCGTCAACCCAACACCCCCATGCCCACTAAACCATGTCCCTAAGCGCCTCATCTACACGTCTTTTAAATACCTCCAGGGATGGGGACTCCACCACTTCCCTGGGCAGCCTGGTCCAATGTTTAACCACTCTTTCAGTAAAGACATTTTTCCTCACGTCCAATCTAAACCTCCCCTGGCACAACTTGAGGCCATTTCCTCTCGTCCTATCGCTTGTTACTTGGGAGAAGAGACCGACCCCCACCTCGCTACAACCTCCTTTCAGGTGGTTGGAGAGAGCGATGAGGTCTCCTGGAAGAGACCTCATCCCTGGGAAGATGCAGCCTTAAGTGATGGGGGGGAAAAGTGGCTTTTTTGCATTCGTATTCCCAACAAAGGGCCGCGCGGGGACGGAGGCTGCAGTCACGCCAGAGTTGTCCCCTGAACTCCTCCAACCCACCGTGAACCCCACCAGCTCGAGTATTTCGCAAGCAGCTCGAGGAGAGCTGTGCTGGGGTATTTATTTACATCCCATCGAGCCGGCGGGTGCGTGTGGGGTCGGAGCGAGCGCCGAACGGGGCAAGAGGGAGTTTCCCCCCCGCAGTGAAGCAGTTGTGGTGGGTTTCTGCCTCCACTTGCCCTGTCCCCACGGCTCACCCCATCCCCGGGTCTCATCCCATTGCATTGAAGCCTGCAACAGGCAGTTGGTGCTGGGGCGGGGCT